AAGAAAAATAATAATAAATATAGCTGCAAGCAGCCATTACCGGGCCAAGCGCAAGAAGCGGCAACATATGCCAAAATGGCAAGGAGTGGCAGACCACTGCAGCAAGGAGCAATTAAGGGCATTTTGAGAGAACTTTGGGCAAATGGCTAAGAAAATCACAAACATTAACTTATAAGATGATTTAATGGGTTATCACTTTCGAACAATAGGTGGCGCAGTTACGAAATAGATGTGATGTGGTCAGAGTGAGGTGACAATGACATGCAAAGTTTGGTGTCAAAATGTGAAGGCATTGCAGAGATAAAGCCTAAATAGTAATTTTGGCAGCATGCCTAAACTTTGATGCTGTGATATACGAAAACGGTTTTGTCTATCATCGTGCAATTCATAACTTTTAGTCGGCACGGTCTGGAGATGATACGATTCAATTTTCGTGAAAATCGGACAAACGGTCTAGGAGGAGTTCGAAAAAGAAGGTTTTTCAAAGAAATAAAGATGGCGAACAGGAAGTTTGTCTGATTATGGAAAACCTGATATCTATGTTTTCGGCATAACCGAAGGAATCTATTAAGATCAGTTTCATTGCAATAGGCAAATTTATTCAAAAGTTATTAGCGTTCTCAGAAATTAATTATAACTTTTGACCAACAGGTGGCGCTGTATCAAAATCTTTTGAGTACCTTCAGGGCATGCTGCTTATGGCACACACTGAGTTTTGTAATATTACACCAATGCATTTGTTTAGTATAGCATTGTATTTCACAAAACTCTATTGAAGTCAATGGGAATTTCACGTTTTGTTCTATTATAGCGCCACCAAGAGGCTCAGTCCCACAATTTTTTTTATGTGTCCTCAGAGTGACCCCATACATATGTGTGTCAATTTTGGTGCAAATATCTCAATTTGCTTCCGAGTTATAAACATTTATATGAAAAAACACGTAAAAAATGACTGACACATGACTTTGTTTGAATTTTACTACCCCTTACTATCAATATTTTCGCATTTGGGCATTTGCGTTTAGTTAACAAGCTATGATTCCGTGTTTCTGGCGGTGGTTTCGTCTCGATCGGAACAGCGGTTTTGAAGATATCGCCAAGTGTTTTTTTCGCGCTAAATCGCTACGCTACACCAACCGTAAGACGAAACCCAGCATGTTTAGTATCGTTGGACTCGGCAACGATTCAGGAACTCAAAAACATGACTCCCATGAAAATAAGTGTACCACACCCAAAGCTATAAGCGTTTGGAAAAAAAATTCACCACTAGGTGGCGCTGTTTCGAAACTTCTCAGGCTCCTTCAGGGCATCGTACTGATGACCCATACCGAGTTTCGTAACAATTCGTTCATGCGTTCAAAAAATACAGCATTTTAGCACATAATTCAAAATGGCCGACAGCCAAAATGGCCGATCTGGGAAAATTGGATATCGGTCGACTCGGCATGACGCCCTGAATCTAACGAGACCAAGTTTTTGATTTTTGGAGAAACCGTTCAGAAGTTACGAGCAAAAATAGCCATTTTTCATATCTCCGGACCACTAGGTGGCGCTGCGCCGAAACGCAGCACGTAGCCTCAGGTCATGCTTGTGATAACACGTACCAAGTTTGGTGTGAAAACGAGTAAGCGTTGCGGAGATACAACCTCACGTCTGTTTTCGCAAGCGCTACGTAATTTTTGTTTACGCGTTTATCGAAAACGGTTATTCGAATCATCTTGAATTCCATAACTTTTTGTCAGCACTGCCTGGAGATGATCCGGTGCGATTTTGGTGAAAATCGGACAAACCGTCTAGGACGAGTTCGCAAAAGTAGGTTTTTTGAAAATTCAAAATGGCGGCCGTTTTTTTATGACGGAAAATGACGTCATAGGGTGCGATCGAATCGGCATGAGCTCAGGAACAAGAGGAAAAAAGAATTTTGTTGATAGGCCTTACGGTTCAAAAGTTATTAGCATAATAAAAGTGAAACTTTGGACAGTTGGTGGCGCTAGAGGGAATGAGTTAGAGACACCAAAATTGGTGTATTTAAAGTTGGGACTGTCCTCTATCAGAATGTCAAACCAAAACAACTTTCCCGCAAACCGGTCTATGGGCTGCCATAGACGCCCAGTCGGAAGAAGAATAATAATAATAATAATAAATATATAGCTGCAAGCAGCCATTACCGGGGCCAAGCGCAAGAAGCGGCAACATATGCCAAAATGGCAAGGAGTGGCAGACCAACTGCAGCAAGGAGCAATTAAGGGCATTTTGAGAGAACTTTGGGCAAATGGCTAAGAAAATCACATAAACATTAACTTATAAGATGATTTAATGGGTTATCACTTTCGAACAATAGGTGGCGCAGTTACGAAATAGATGTGATGTGGTCAGAGTGAGGTGACAATGACACATGCAAAGTTTGGTGTCAAAATGTGAAGGCATTGCAGAGATAAAGCCTAAATAGTAATTTTGGCAGCATGCCTAAATTTTGATGCTGTGGTATACGAAAACGGTTTTGTCTATCATCGTGCAATTCATAACTTTTAGTCGGCACGGTCTGGAGATGATACGATTCAATTTTCGTGAAAATCGGACAAACGGTCTAGGAGGAGTTCGAAAAAGAAGGTTTTTCAAAGAAATAAAGATGGCGAACAGGAAGTTTGTCTGATTATGGAAAACCTGATATCTATGTTTTCGGCATAACCCAAGGAATCTATTAAGATCAGTTTCATTGCAATAGGCAAATTTATTCAAAAGTTATTAGCGTTCTCAGAAATTAATTATAACTTTTGACCAACAGGTGGCGCTGTCTCAAAATCTTTTGAGTACCTTCAGGGCATGCTGCTTATGGCACACACTGAGTTTTGTAATATTACACCAATGCATTTGTTTAGTATAGCATTTTATTTCACAAAACTCTATTGAAGTCAATGGGAATTTCACGTTTTGTTCTATTATAGCGCCACCAAGAGGCTCAGTCCCACAATTTTTTTTATGTGTCCTCAGAGTGACCCCATACATATGTGTGTCAATTTTGGTGCAAATATCTCAATTCACTTCCGAGTTATAAACATTTATATGAAAAAACACGTAAAAAATGACTGACACATGACTTTGTTTGAATTTTACTACCCCTTACTATCAATATTTTCGCATTTGGGCATTAGCGTATAGTTAACAAGCTATGATTCCGTGTTTCTGGCGGTGGTTTCGTCTCGATCGGAACAGCGGTTTTGAAGATATCGCCAAGTGTTTTTTTCGCGCTAAATCGCTACGCTACACCAACCGTAAGACGAAACCCAGCA